ACCCTTAAAGGGTAAACCTCCCCCCTTGTTTATAAAAACATAACATAACATAACATAAACACTCACGCCTGTCACCCAGAGGGGTAGGCAGAGACTACAGACTTCCATTTAGCACGATCCTGGCATACCTTTCTCGCCTCTTCCACATCCATATACCTACGCATACATGCTCGTCGGTTAAGGGTACTCTTAATTTGGCCCATTTTTAGTATATCGCCAATTTGGTCGACAAACTTCCGCCTAGGACGTCCCTTTCCGACTCTTCCATTCACTTCTGCAACATATATTTGCTTTGTCAGTCTTTCCGCATTCATTCTTAATTTTTAATGGGGCAGGGGTGCGAAGAATCTCCGGGAGGAAAACCGGCGACGAGGTTCGCCACCCGTCACGTTCTGTCTCCCAGAGAGGCGAAAAGTGGATTGAAGAGGCCCTTGTTTATACTCAAATAGAAACATTTGAGTTTAACTTTTGCTTTAAAAATTAGTAAAGACCAATTTTTGATTTATAGCACTCAACTGACAAGTAGGAACCAATTTTGTTTACATTTAAGTAACCCAATTTTATTTTAAAATAAAATATTCATTGACTTACGGTCTATTTACTAAAAATCATCAATCACCTATCTAGTGGATAATAGAAACTAGACGAAAACCATACGGATCTTAGAATTTTGTAGTTTTTTTTTTTAAGCTGCAGTTAATTGTTTTTGTATTAAAAAAGTATATTTTATTTTAAAATCATTATTACGTCCCCTTAGAAAAAAAGGGATACAAAGCTTATCAGATGAATAGAAGTAAACATAATGATGAAATAAAACGTATTTTTATGGTTCTAATAAATCAAACAATATAAAATAGGTATCTAATAAAATATAATTAATATAAAATTTATATGAAATTATAAATAATATAAAATTATTAATATAAAATAGGTAATAAAATATATTTAATAGATAATTCATGAATAAACTAAAATAAGAATAATTAATTCTTTTGTATGAAAGTTAAAACGTAGTTTTTACTATAACTTCCAAAATATTTAAAATCAGAGGTAACAAATTAACGTACTCCATTAATTATTAGTCTCCCATTAATGTAGGATAATCACAAATGCGGAAAAGTGGCAACATTGAACCTAAATGGCGATATTCGATAATTTTATTTAATTATTTGAGGTTTTTTTACGTTTATATGAAAACAAGAACTAAAAATTATGTGTTGAAAGTGATGACGCTTGATTTATTACGTTTTTGTGACCTTGAATAGCATTCTTTCACTACACATTTACCCATTTTTGTCGCGACTCAACTCTGTCGGCGTCACATTGAACAATGAACTCACGTTAGCTAGGCATATGGCTGTGGCCATATGTGCAGTGGCAACGCTTTGGCGCGGTTATTACTGATCTAGGGTTATATAAATCAATGTATAGCACCCAACTGGCAAGTAGGAACCAATTTTGTTTACATATAAGTAACCCAATTTTATTTTAAAATAAAATATTCATTGACTTACGGTCTATTTACTAAAAATCATCAATCACCTATCTAGTGGATAATAGAAACTAGACGAAAACCATATGAATCTTAGAATTTTGTAATTTTGTAAGACAGTTTTGTAATTTGGTTTTATGATTTTGTAATTAAACACTATACTATACGAAATCTAACTTTTGTCTTCTTTTATTTTGAGAAAATATAGCGCCTTTATCTATTTTAGGAGCAAAGTATGTCAAAGTAAAATTTGACTAAAATTGGTTTAATGAACTGTCAAAGTCTTGAGTGGTTAAAATAAGGTACTCACTTCATCACTGGACAGCGTGTCCACCCCACATCTCGATTGCTCATCGCGTCGAATGACTTTATTACCTATAGCATGTAGTAGATGGCGCTATTACAAATCTCAAATACAAAATTTTCTGTTTTCAATGGATCTCACAAAGTCATTTTACCGAACTAAAACTTATTGACTTTCAAGGTGGCAAGTACAATCGACGCTAGATGTCATTAACACAAAAACCACAAGTGATTCAATTGATTGGCTTTGACTTTGATTGGTAACTTTATTCAATATATTTTAAATATTTAATAAATTTGTTTATTTATAAATTTCATTTTTAACAATACACAAATTCATCTTACTTTACATGTCTAAAAATAGGGGTTGTAACATTTATTTGCTACAAAATTAAACTTTTACCTATCTTATACTTATATAAGGTCGTTGAAAATTATCATATTAAATAAATCTTTTGCTATGAAATCTTTTGAAGTGTTATTTTTAGTGAACTCTACGAAATGATATTTTGAACTCATAGATGCAACAAATAAATTATAATAAAAAATCCTTAAATAATAAATACTCCCGATACTGTGCAGTCTGAATTGTTTATTCGATGGGCCTGTTTGTTCAGATCATTCGGGATTCGGTCGGTTTTCGGCTCATTCACAATTCATACAAATCTCGAGTAAAAAAGGTACCGTCAATTATTTGTGATTGGTTGTAACATTCAAAAACAAATGAATGAACCATCGATACTTTTATGTGTACCAGCTCAAATGAACGAATCATGCATGATTGACACATGCCTATTTTCCTCTCCTCTATTACAGCTTATAAAAGTTTAATGCTGAACCTATGCCTCCCCCATAGACTATATAGCAGTGATTTTGTCATAGTCACCGCTTACACGCTTGGCAGACAGATTGGCAGTCGAACTTTTTATAATTTTGATTTTGAGGTGTTGTCAGGAAGATGCTGCTGCTGTCTATCTTCAGCTTCAGTTTCCCTCTGTCGCCTCTTGCGACACCCACGGGACGATATGGGGCAGTAGCGGTCAACCTGATTTTTACTGGTATATTACTTCATCTTCTTTAACAGAAGGTAACAGTCCACTGCTAGAGGTCAACTTATTCCACTTTAGGGGATTTGCCTTAATTGCATTGGCGACCGTAGTACCATGAGCAATTTTGATACTTTTTTAATCAACTGCTGAATACGCCTACGTGGTAAAGTCACGCTGCAGCTATAATAAAATTTGCAAATTTAAGTTTGCACGGTGTAAATATTATTAATAATGGTGTCAATTACTTAGCTGTAAATCAGAGGGCAGCTGGGTACGAACGTATGTAAGCTACGTCGTGGCTTCATATTGTAAACTCCTTAGGGGTGATCCTTAAATCACGTGAGGTTCGAATAGGAAACGGGGAGGAGGGGATCAGAAAAAAACCACGAATAATTACGATGGGGGATGGGATTATGTGACAAAGACGCTTACATTTCTTAAAGAATGTAAGTAATTTAACGTGTTATGTGTAAAATATTTTATAATTACCAACTTATGTTTATTTTTTTTACTTGCCGTTGTTTGTCATATGCCTCACACTCCTAGCTCCACTGAAAATCAGCGTTATGAATTGTTGTATATCGTCAATTCGTTACTTCAAGCTGAGTCGAGACCATTTTGGTGCATATTAAGTAATTTCTTTTTTAAATGTATTTGTTAAGATGAAAAATATATTTTTCTGTTTTATTTGATTTATATTTTCTGTGTTATAATGTGTGTGCCAAATAAACTTACTTCTTTCTTTTTTTAACTTAATTTTCAATTTCATTAATATTCGCTGTTTTTCAGAATCCAATTTTTTATTACAACAGATTCTACAAATATCTAATATTTTTAATTTAAAAAAATTATGCTCGGACAAGGGAGCGGTAGCCTAAAACCTCACGACGTATCAGCAAAGGGGAGGGAGGGGTATGACAGTGGGCTAAAAACCTCACGTGATTGAAGAATGGCCCCTTACAAAATACCATGAACATCGTGACGGTCCACACACACCTGATCTAGTTCGGGTCTATCACGTCCTTGTCCTTAATTGCCATGCTCTCCTTGGCCCACCTGCTAAGATAAACTCCAACTAGACTCTATGTTATAAGCCTAGCTTTGTTACTTTAAATCTTATGAAAGTTTTTCAACTAAATCATCACAGTTATGTGGGGAAAATAATTGAAAACATAACCCAATCGAAACACGAGTTTGGTTTATTTTCAAAATAATGTATTCTCTTTATTTAATAAGATCGCGTAGCCAAGTGTTTACAATAAATACATTGTATGTCAGGATACGTGTTTGAATCTCAGCTGAAGCCAACAAGTATATAATAATATATTGATAGTATTAGGTGATAACACAATTACAGTAAATTGCATGTTCTGATGTGTTTATACCTGATTTATCTCAAATTTATATATTTATTAATATACTTAGAGATAAGCTGATTAGTTAATAAATATATAAATCTACCATTATTATCAATAATAGTTTATACAAGGTAATAGTTTATAGTTAATAGACCATAGCAATGAAACCATGTGTGGCTTCTGCTGTATTTTGAATTAAAAAAAGTGTCACAACTCACACTCATATATCCGAAATATTATTTCGGGTATGTGAGTACGAGTAGTTATGTCGTAATTGTGATCGTTCCTTAATTTTTTTAACGATTGTTAATTGCAATTTTAAGTACTGGTTAACCACGTACTCGGGTGGAGCATACTTCAGGAGAAAGTCTGCATGTCTGAGGTTCGAGGACCAGTAAAACCCGACACCAAACACGGGTCAGCGCGTAACACTACATGGTCGGGACCAACCACCAACCGTCATGACCTTGGTCGGGTTGATGTAAAAATGGACAGTGTAGACATCGGTTGTCTGACCAATATTTTGGTTGATGTCCGACGACCTTGGTCGCTAGCGCATCTCTCACGACACGTCGGGTCCTTGGTGGACGCCGACCGTGCGGAAAGCTGTTGGCTGACGACAGCGCCTCAGTGCGCGCTTGGCACCTTGGCAGTCGTCGCAGGCGAATGTTTAACGGCACTATGGATACGAACGGAAGCAAAGAACGTGAGGTCCTGACCGAATTCTCGTCATTGTACTGTGATTTACCATGTCTTTGGGATATTGGATCGGAGTCATATAAAGACAGAAATATAAAAATGCAAGCATGGGAGCTTTTCAAGGACAAGCTTCAAGAAATTGAACCCGAGGCAAACTTCGCTGCAACAAAGAAAAAGATTGAGCACATGCGATCGGCTTTTAAGAGAGAGTACAAAAAGGTGATTTTTTATAATAGGTACCTACTGTACTATTTGTTTCAAATAAAGAAGTTTATCCCGATGACATTATAGCAATTTTTTTCCCGATGACATTATAGTAATTAATACCAATTATTTTAGTCTTTACTTAATTTCACAGACAAATAAAGCATTAGTTTACTTCCATTTTTAATGTAGATAATGATTTTAGTAGATAAACTTCTAACATTACTTTTAAACGAAAAATACACAATTTTCTATTCATCATTAACTGTAATTAAATAATCTTTAAATACTTATAATAAAAACAAAAGGGCTGCACGATAACTAAGCCTATCTTTGTCTTGTTATTTTTTAGGTTAAAGAATTAAAACGAACGGGAGCAGGAGCCAATGATGTCCATGTTCCTAACCTTTGGTATTTTAATTTGTTGCTGCCTATCCTTGATAAGAAAGATGAGCAATCGAGATGTGGGTTGGACACGCTGTCCAGTGACAGCGAATATATTATACCTGCATGAAGTGAGTACCTTATTTTAATATTTTGAAAAATTGCTTAAACAAATTTTTAAGGCAAATTTTACTTTGACATACTTTGCTCCTAAAATAGATAAAGGCGCTATATTTTCTCAAATAAAAGAAGACAAAAGTTAGATTTCGTATAGTATAGTGTTTAATTACAAAATCATAAAACCAAATTACAAAACTATCTTACGAAATTACAAAATTCTAAGATTCATATGGTTTTCGTCTAGTTTCTATTATCCACTAGATAGGTGATTGATGATTTTTAGTAAATAGACCGTAAGTCAATGAATATTTTATTTTAAAATAAAATTGGGTTACTTAAATGTAAACAAAATTGGTTCCTACTTGTCAGTTGGGTGCTATAAATCAAAAATTGGTCTTTACCAATTTTTAAAGCAAAAAAGTTAAACTTAAATGTTTCTATTTGAGTATAAACAAGGGGGGAGGTTTACCCTTTAAGGGTGAGTTTCTCGTCCCTCCCCTCTTCACCCTGCCCTCTCCCACCAATAATGCCCAAATTTATAAAGAAATACCATAAACAATTATATTCTCTTCTTTCCATGACTATTTCAACAATTTTGTGTTGAAAGCATACTTTGCCAGTTGTATTAAGTAAAATAATCCATTAAGGTTTTTCTCACTTGCTGCCTCTCATAGGTATTCCTTACGTATACGTATACCTTACGTATTTACTCTTTAAATACCAGAAACAACTGACAAGTTTAGTCAACCACCCGACCGTGTAGAATGAAATGAATACAAAAATCGGTTGACCCGACCAAATCACGACGGTTGGTGGTTGGTCCCGACCGTGTAGAAGGCCTTTAATTGCTCCGTCTCAGAAAAGACTTACTTTTTTACTTTTCAGTTTACTTATGTATTTCAATTTAAAAAAATGGATTACATTAACATTAACTTTACACACCATATTTTACTTAGCCATAATCTCAATATTTTAGTTCATAGTCCGTTTTACAGAATATGCTTAAAATACAAGGAAATAAATTAAATCTGGATATTTTTCATTGTAAGAAATGAACACTTACAAAGACTTTTGTTTTAATTGATTTTTTAAATTGCATTATTACGTGCTTAAGGGGAAATATAATCTCAAATGGCTTAGCAAGATCCTCCGTTATGCCGAAAGTATTGCAGCATTAATTTTGAAATAAATATATGGTAAAGTTGAGGATTAATGTTAAGGACTATGTTAGACGAAAACACGATTCCGTAAAATTTTCTCGATAGAAAAAAAAATCCAAAGTTACCTCCAAACTGAACAATAAACCGCTGTTATTCATAAAATACTTTAAATAAGATCATGAAACTTTGCATACTAACTGAACTAACTATAAAGGAGTGCTTATGTTATTAACTTTTTTTAAAATACCATTATTTTCACTGTAAAAAGAAATTACCTAAACTATCGGCGCGTAAGCTTGATTCCTGTTGCCCCGTTAGTATCGATCCGGCTTTTGAAGGGAGAAGTTGTGTCGCTTACGATCAAAATACACATTACGCAACAGGACGACGTAAAATTAAAATGGGAAATAACTGTTATAAAAATAAGAAGCGACTGGGTTGGCGTTAAGAAACAGGCATAAATATGATAAACCTAATGAAATAAGTATCTAACGACCTATCTACTTCAGTATTAGTGATTACAAACATGTCGGTACATAGCATACGACGCGCGGGGAAGTGGGGGCGAAATTAGAGTTTGAGCTGACTTACTCTATCCTCTTAATTGCAAAGTGCTGTCAAAGGTTTTGCCGCATGAAATCGTACCTAAAAATCATATTGAACATATAAATTATATAAAAAGCAGATTGTCAGAAAGATAAAGAGTTAATGAACTTATTTTTTTTTAATCGATTAATTTTTACACAAGTGGTTTTAACGGCTTATGGTGCAGATTTATTTTATTATATTGACATTCTTTAGTTTTCGTTACATCCATTCATCCAATACAACCTATAAAAGTTCACGGTTGAATTATAGGCCTCCCCCATAAATTGTATCATAGAGGAGATTTTGCCATAACTGCCACGCTTGGCAATCGGGTAGATAACCACAGTTTTTTTTTTAATTTTAAGTTGTTATTGGAAAGATGGTTCTGCTCATCTCCTGTTTCAGTATTTCTCTGTCGCCTCTTCCGACACCCACGGGACGTCAGTAATATGGAGTCGAGAATATTCTTACATCACCACTAACTAATGGTGGTTGTTATTGGAAAGATGGTTCTGCTCATCTCCTGTTTCAGTTTTTCTCTGTCGCCTCTTCCGACACCCACGGGACAGTAATATGGAGTCGGGAATATTCTTACATCACCACTAACTAATGGTGGTTGTTATTGGAAAGATGGTTCTGCTCATCTCCTGTTTCAGTATTTCTCTGTCGCCTCTTCCGACACCCACGGGCGGGACAGTAATATGGAGTCGGGAATATTCTTACATCACCACTAACTAATGGTGGTTGTTATTGGAAAGATGGTTCTGCTCATCTCCTGTTTCAGTTGTTCTCTGTCGCCTCTTCCGACACCCACGGGACAGTAATATGGAGTCGGGAATATTCTTACATCACCACTAACTAATGGTGGTTGTTATTGGAAAGATGGTTCTGCTCATCTCCTGTTTCAGTTGTTCTCTGTCGCCTCTTCCGACACCCACGGGGGGACAGTAATATGGAGTCGGGAATATTCTTACATCACCACTAACTAATGGTGGTTGTTATTGGAAAGATGGTTCTGCTCATCTCCTGTTTCAGTTGTTCTCTGTCGCCTCTTCCGACACCCACGGGACAGTAATATGGAGTCGGGAATATTCTTACATCACCACTAACTAATGGTGGTTGTTATTGGAAAGATGGTTCTGCTCATCTCCTGTTTCAGTATTTCTCTGTCGCCTCTTCCGACACCCACGGGACAGTAATATGGAGTCGGGAATATTCTTACATCACCACTAACTAATGGTGGTTGTTATTGGAAAGATGGTTCTGCTCATCTCCTGTTTCAGTAGTTCTCTGTCGCCTCTTCCGACACCCACGGGCCCACGGGACAGTAATATGGAGTCGAGAATATTCTTACATCACCACTAACTAATGGTGGTTGTTATTGGAAAGATGGTTCTGCTCATCTCCTGTTTCAGTTGTTCTCTGTCGCCTCTTCCGACACCCACGGGCGGGACAGTAATATGGAGTCGGGAATATTCTTACATCACCACTAACTAATGGTGGTTGTTATTGGAAAGATGGTTCTGCTCATCTCCTGTTTCAGTTGTTCTCTGTCGCCTCTTCCGACACCCACGGGCGGGACAGTAATATGGAGTCGGGAATATTCTTACATCACCACTAACTAATGGTGGTTGTTATTGGAAAGATGGTTCTGCTCATCTCCTGTTTCAGTTGTTCTCTGTCGCCTCTTCCGACACCCACGGGGGGACAGTAATATGGAGTCGGGAATATTCTTACATCACCACTAACTAATGGTGGTTGTTATTGGAAAGATGTTTCTGCTCATCTCCTGTTTCAGTAGTTCTCTGTCGCCTCTTCCGACACCCACGGGCAGGGTCAGTAATATGGAGTCGGGAATATTCTTACATCACCACTAACTAATGGTGGTTGTTATTGGAAAGATGGTTCTGCTCATCTCCTGTTTCAGTTTTTCTCTGTCGCCTCTTCCGACACCCACGGGCACGGGTCAGTAATATGGAGTCGGGAATATTCTTACATCACCACTAACTAATGGTGGTTGTTATTGGAAAGATGGTTCTGCTCATCTCCTGTTTCAGTTGTTCTCTGTCGCCTCTTCCGACACCCACGGGACGCAGTAATATGGAGTCGGGAATATTCTTACATCACCACTAACTAATGGTGGTTGTTATTGGAAAGGTGGTTCTGCTCATCTCCTGTTTCAGTAGTTCTCTGTCGCCTCTTCCGACAACCACGGGTCAGTAATATGGAGTCGAGAATATTCTTACATCACCACTAACTAATGGTGGTTGTTATTGGAAAGATGGTTCTGCTCATCTCCTGTTTCAGTAGTTCTCTGTCGCCTCTTCCGACAACCACGGGACAGTAATATGGAGTCGAGAATATTCTTACATCACCACTAACTAATGGTGGTTGTTATTGGAAAGATGGTTCTGCTCATCTCCTGTTTCAGTTGTTCTCTGTCGCCTCTTCCGACACCCACGGGCCCACGGGACAGTAATATGGAGTCGGGAATATTCTTACATCGCCACTAAAGGCATGTCTGTTTAATAGTACAAACATGAACCATTATAATTCCACATAAATCCGCTATTCAGCTTTCAGCAGTTTTAGTGCCTTAGGGTCAACAATAGCAATTTTTAAGTAGTAAAATGATGCCTAATGCTGCTTAATAGCATAAACTTGTACCATTATCATATACCGTAAATCCCTTATACAGCTTTGAGCTGTTTTAGTGACCTTAAATGGCATTTAAGTGGTAATTAAAATCCTGGTACTTCTGAACAATATAACTGAGAGTCTACTTACATTTTTAAGGATCAACTGAGTTCTATTGTACAGCCAACAGTTCTGTAATAAAATACACGTGAGTTATTTTAATGCATAAAACTGTGTTATTCGTTTTACTGTATCCGTAAAACCATTTGTCGGCGATATTGCAGGGGAAAGCAACATATGCACATGTTTTGTTGATAATATAGTTTTTTATCGTAGCGTTCAAGCAATGGCACTATTTCAGTCTACATCAAGTCTACTAGTATACCGGTGAATCCATATCATCATCATCATTTTCGTTACAGACCTTTACAAGCCCACTGCTGAACATAGGCCTCCCCCAAGGAATGCCACAAAAACGGTCTTGAGCCACCTGCACCCGTCGACTTCCTGCATGTCTTACCAGGTCGTCACTCCATCTAGTGGGGGGTCGCCCTACACTACGCCTACCGGTACGAGGCTGCCACTCGAGAACCTTTCTTCCCCATCGTTTATCGGTTCTTCGAGC